GGTGATCTGAAATATCAAAAACTGTTTTAGCTGAGCACTCCTACGTTAGCATGATTGAGTAAAAACAGTTGGCAGTGCACTGAGCTAAATATTCTTCTAAGTTTTTGTCTTGGGTAAATTTCAAATTCTGCTAGTGGGATCAGGACGAATGCAGCAACAAGATCGGTGTCATTCGACCTCGCGGTAAATGGTGGCTATTCCACAGGTTGGTTTTATCATTTTATAAGCTATACTGACCAATCCGCATGAATCTGCGGCTGGATCGTACCTTCATATTATTAGTGGGCTTATATAAACGGACCTACAAGCTAGAATACGTTTCAAACCTTTCATTTGATTAGCCAAACATGCTGATTAGGCCAGTGTTCCTCTTCAATACCTTAACCTTTAATTTCGCTTGTTATGATATTACGGTATTAATCCAACGAAGGTCGTGTTTCTTGTTACTCGTAAGCACTGCGCCATGCTTCTCGAAGTGGGTTTAAAAAGAATGTTTTAATTCAATTTAAGCTTCAACGCAAACATATCAGGGATCCACTTCAGACAACTGATGGCACTTTGATACCAAACACAATTGCAAGAACAGCAAGGAGCACAGCAGAAGCGGCTGAATACGTGTCCCAAGTCAATAATACTTTTCTGTCTCAAGCATCCTATCGATAAGGCTTGTCCATATCTGCAGTAGCGAAGAAATTGAAGCCAAACAGTGGTTTTTGCACTGATTCACGGAATTCCGGCAACGTTGACATACATAAGAAGGTAACGGTAGGTTAATAATATGATACCACACCGAGTATGGTGGTGGTGGTTGGTCGAACGCGCTAGTTGAGCGAACATGAGACCAACAGTCAGAAAGCTAAGCAATCGTGACTAATACAACCTGATGGTATTTAGACAGGTTAGATTGATAGTATCACTGTGTTGGACGAACATGTACAAAGCTCTAGCACCTGTCAAGAAAGCAATGCGAGAGGTACAATGGACCTGAGTTCTTTGATTGATGACATTTTGATTGCGGACCAGATTTTGTTTTTGATTCATGGAAGATTATCTCGACACAGATATATGACGGCCACGGAGACGCCTTAATGTTACCGTTGTCTTACCAAAGATGCACAGCATCCACTGACTGTATTTATCAGCATCAGTGTCTTTGAATTATCGTTTGACGAGCCTCTTCCTGGGATCTCAAAGAGGATAGAAGCCCTACATGTCGAAGGTTAGATCTGCACTGTTAAAAGGTAATATCTTTGTGTCGCGGTCGTTGGTTGTCCGTCAACCACGGCCATGCATTGCTAGCCTAATATATTCACAATTTGACTGCATCAAGACAGCCAAGGTAGGACTTGGATCCGGTTAGGTATTTCACTTTCATGGTTTACATATTGCGAAAACAAATGACCACGATAATTGATCCATTTCTACATGGGAATTGTCGTAGAAACAAGGCAGGAAACCCGTCGTTTCCATTTTCAATTATTCCAAACCGGCATTGTTTTTCACACGTTACAGTCGTACGGAAACATATATGCTGCGTTTGACTGGAATGATAAATTCCATCATTATTGGTAGATATCTTCATGACCTATGGATGTGGTAGCCATTCTAATCCAGGGGGTCTTTAATTCTTGCACCTGGTTCTATAATTAAGTATCGCCTAGTTCTTATATCTATTAATATGGTTAGAGTCACGATCACTCCAAATTTTCCTCTGTTTAACAAACACTTTGAACATGAGGCGTTATTGAAAAGTAGAGAGGTTGAATTACTCCAAGTGTTACTGACTTAAGCTACTGAAGGGGTAGCGATTGTCGGCTTTAATTTAACATGCATGACGAGGGGATCTATACACCTCATTAGTTAACCAGCTTAAACGCAGGTGTAGTCAACGGCTTGCAACTCCTGGAGCTTGGAGCCATCGGAAAAAGTGGCAGTACGACCGAAAACCGACAAGTAAACTATCAATGATAGCACTTAGATGGCTTCATTCTTTCCTGTTTCTACAATTAGTAAATGTGTGTGTGATCTAATGTGAAACACACAATTCATGCATGGCTGGGCATCCCGAGAATAGCAAGTTATATTCGCATCATGAACAACACGGTAGAGAGCGGATAAGTAGGTCGATCTTCATTTCAGCCCAGATACTCAGCGAAGAATATCTACGTCCACTGGATAAGCTTCGAATTGCCTATCGGTTTCTCAAGAATCGTGCTAAAGTTAATTGAGCATCAAAACCGGTCGAATTGTTACTGAACTCACTTTCGTTTTCCCTCATCAACAGTACTCAAATGGGTTTTCTGCTACATCAACTCATTGGCGCATAGTGAATTGCTCCCATGTTTACCGAGAGATGATACATCACAAAAAAACTGTGTGCGGATCGACATTTACACTAAAAGCCGGGCTTATTTGTTTAGACCCACGGTCTTTTGATTATTACAACAAGTTCCCCGCTACGCAGTACGTTTTGCTTGTAGTTTTACCTATGGTGTTAAGGCCGTCATCATGACCATTAGCATTTACTGGAACAATCTCCGAGGGCAGATCAATAGGTTCCTGGATACGCAGTACAAAGATTAGGTGCACATGACCTGGCAAGAAAAAGTTGAATTGTAATCTATTGTGAGCATTTTCCAGATATTTCAAATCACAGCACCCTGTATCAGTAGCCCAGCACAAGTCACAAGAGTCACTATAAACGGAATTCATTCGATGTCGTTGCAGCCTGCTGATTTTCGATCAGTACAAATGTGGTTTTAAGCAGCACCAGAGTGCTGAGCGATTGCCTGCTGCGTTTTGGTAATGATGCGACTTCCAGAATGATCTTGTATTAATGGTTTGCAAAATTCAAGCATGGCAGGCGGTCCCTGAATACTGTGGCGTGATGTGATCGTATTGTGGAGGCAACCACCGCGGACAACATTGCTGCTGTGCAAGCGACGCTGGAAGAGGACGAGCGCAAGACTGTGTTAAAGCTGGGGAAAGCCATCCGGATCTCATCGGGATCAATCCGCATCATCCAACATGAGAAGCACGACCTCAGAAACGTTTGCGAACATTGCGGACGCTAGCAGCTCATTGAGGACCAGAAAGCAGCTCGGGTGATTTGGTGCCACCTCCTGGTTGCTAGTTTGACGATGGACGTTTCAATGCTGCTTGAGTGATCCTCAATACGGATGAGACATGGACATAGATTTTCGACACATAGACCAGGCGTCAATCGGCTCAATGGACGGCCATTATTGGGACACAGCCATTAGAAATTTCGGCTTGAGCGTAGTGTGACCAAGCAGATGGTGGTTGTGTTGGTGGCCAAGACCGGTCTTGGGGCTGCTGTACCGCCCATACGGCAACGCACAGTCACGGGAGACTAGTATGCCACTCACTGTCTGCCACAAGTGCTGAAAGCTGTAGCCAGGCGTAGTCCAAGAATAGGACACTAGGAACCTAGTTGGCTATGAATATGCACTTCCATCCAAGTCCCGTATCATCCTGTGTTTTCTGGCTAGCGAACGCATTCAGGAGTTTGGTCATCCAACCTACAGTGCAGACCTGATCCCGCGTAATCTTTCGTGTTCCAAATGTTACGTGCACGATAAGTGGAATCCGCTTCGAATCTGCTGAAGCCGCAGTGGGGGAATTTTATTGAGCTGCTTGAAAGGTTACCAGTTTCGACATGGTCTAGATGCCTCTTCAAATGGCTTGAAGGCATAGATCAGTGCAGGAACGTTAGTGGTGAGCACTTCGAGATGTCATGCTTTTTTGTTGTCAGAGATAAAAATAATGTGCATCCGGCGACTTATTACTCTACCGTCGTACATAGTTCTTCATTGCGACCGTTGTCACTGTTGCACAGGGAATGGAAATACTGAGCATGTTCGATAACCGCTGTTATCCACCATTCGGTCTCGGCTTGGAGCGACCTGTAAAAACCCCTGGGACTATTTCGAAAACAATGCTGGGAATAATTATGGTACTGCTTTTACAACGGATTAGTGCAATAAATCAAATATTAAACTCCACAGCGTCCAAAGTAAAGACGTACAACCCTTTCTCAAATTGCAGAAGTCATAAACAACGCAATTCAAAAGACCAGCGTACAGACACGTACCAGTCACATGGACAAACTGACGGAGCTATTCACAGGCACATTGAAGCCGTACGAACGATAAACCACTCAGGCAAGTATCCGGCGACTAGCGCAGCGATTAAGTTCATTGTCAACCACAAAGTCAGGCTGGGCCAGTGCCACTGTGGGGATGACGAAAAGTAGAAAAGACGAAAGCTGGGTTTAAGTGCGTTTGCATAGCTTGTTTTAAGATAAAGTTTCGGAGAAAACCAAAACGGGCAGGGGGAGAAATAATAGCATGTTTAATTGGACAAAACAGCCGTAACACTTGTAAGAGTATGTCGGAAGCAGTATTTCTGACTAGTGGACACCTTGCACGTCATTCATGACCATTGTTATTTTATAATAATAACAACCAGTACAGTAATTTGATAGGCCGACTGAGGTTTGGAATTGGGTTAAACAGACAATGGAGCCAGCAGCATCTCAATGAAATGTCTAAACGTGTTAAACTGGGCTTCATTGACAATCATATCAAATCTAGCAATGTACTGGTTGTTGTACTGGTGAATAACGAGACCAATCATAGTTGAAACCAGGTATTGAGGAACAAAATACTTCCTTATGCTTCATGTCGTGCTAAATGTTGAACCCGTTTTGGACACGGAAGCAAAAAGATCCTGTTACTTAATGCAAGATAGCTTTGTTTGTTGATCCGTTGGTTGATCTATTGGTAGAGTAGGAGAATGTTGCAGACGATCGCAGATGTCCCACAACAGGCAAGTCGGCTTTCTAATCGCTTTAGTAGACAATAAGGTACTGTTGTCGTATAAGCTGAACAGAGTCACAGTGAACTAGTAGACCATGGTAAGGTTAATTTCCATTTCATCCTTCTCCGTACCTTAATCATTTTTGTGGATCGCTGCAGGTCCGTTTATCGGTAAGACCACCACGGAGGAACGCTATCACATTCTGTGGAGGTACTCTGATCACCCCTCAATGGATTCTCACTGCGGGTCACTGTCTATTGGTGGAGAACAAACGCATGCCAGTAGGACGCTTGGTACTTCTATCGGACTACATGAAGAGCACTATCTACGCTCATGTGGGTGACCATCATAGGAGTAAAAAGGAAGAAACACAGCAAGATTATCAAGTCACAAAGGCTGCTATACACCCGAGATATCACCGGCGGCTAACAACGGATGGCGATGATATTGCATTACTCTACTTAGCAGAGCCAGTTAAATTGAGTGAGTCATATTTCTATGTCTAGCTAGGCAGCAACAATAATCTGACTGGTTTACTTGTTACCTATTCTGTTTAACAGATATCGGTTTAAGCAGTAAGTTATTTGAAAGTGTCTTTACACTAATTAACTCCCGGGACTTATTCCTGATAACCACAGAGAACATCTTTGTTTGATTCACAAAAGACCTGGTTGTTCACTTTCCGTCTTGTATTCTTTCACCAGTTACCGTGAATTGCAGCTGTAGATAACTGAATATTCATTTGCCTAGTGTGCTTGATACTACCCTTGATAATCGTCTGATGCTTTTGCTGTACGCCAGTAGCTCAAATCATATTCTCATTGAATTTTTGCTTGTTTTGAGAGAATTCACCCACCCTTGGACAAAGAGTTTATTAACCTACAGTAACCTTAAACCAGATCGAGAGTATTGTGTGTGTGTGCAAAACTGTTCTCACACAATCAACAACGTTCAGCAAGTGATAGTTGCTAACACAGTAAATTATTCCAAACCTCCTATTGCTTGCGAATTCACAATGCTCAAGTTGTTTTGTGATAGGATTGCCAGTACAAACAATGCAAGTCAAGGATGGGAGTTTTGAAAGTTGAGCTTATATATGAAGAGGCTGAATGGGCATAACTGTCACGAAAGCTCTTGTGCATAGGAGTGATTTCTGCGGCGGTTTCCATGCCTGCTGAACAGAAAAATTTGATTATAATAACCAAGTCGCTCGACTCATAGCTTAAGCGGTTGATGTGAACCGGTGACAACAAATTTTCAAAGTACTACTGAATGATGTTGTTATTCTTCTTATATCTAGTACTTCGCTGTACCTTCTCAGTCGCACAGATTCCCACACGTCTAGAAAAGCATTAGACAGCTGCTTCGAGATTATGGGTCTCGTTAGTGGTACTCTTTTCTCGGCGTACGAAACTGGACGAACTGAGTTAAATTATGAGCAGTTTTCCTCTACTTACCGGTGGTCAGAAAATCCGTCGGTTTAGCTTCTATGTACTGTATCTTACACAGTCACCACGCGGAAACTCGTCGCTCTGAAACCAAGCACTTTCAATTGAACAGTTCGTAGCTGGCATAGCATACTGGATGAGCCGGGCTATATTGTAGTCAACTGTCAATCATGCAGGTCCGCTGCAGTCATCAATGGCTTAGTCGCACCAGCTGCTGGTATCCGGAAGTCGTAGTGTAGGAACTCGGCAAGGGACCGAAGAACACGCACCACTGACGAGAACCCGAAGGTCGAAACAGCTGTCGGTTTCATTTCCAGACGAGTAGAAACCTGCGTGACTGAGAGGGACTGCGATGAACTACATCAAAAATTACCCTAAAATGCCCTTTACTTATCAATAATTTGTTTTTGATTAAAAGCATACTATTCCGAGGACAACTAACGGCGAAAACTACGCCAACATTGTAAATATTAGCCATGCAAACATTTGCCATGCGTTTTTCGTTTGTGCATCATGAAGAGCCGTGAATGGGCTGAGGGCGTAAAAGTTGGACAACTAACGAGGCTACTAACACATCATTTGAGTAAGCGTAAATGTTCAAAAAATTGTCCGTTGCGTCCATGAGGAGGACAAGTAAGCGGTTTGATTGGGGAATTCCTTTTGTCGCGACATTCTATATTTATCAACCTATCCGCTCAGTCGGTTCACAGTTGTGTGCTTTTGGTGGCCCGGGGGGAAGTATAGCCAGTTTTAGTGGGGTTACTAAATGACGTATTTTGTCCACTGCAAACAGTTTTCAAATACTCGTTACAAATTCAAAATTTATTCTTCCACTAGATTGTATATTATTACTAATTGCGGTATCTATCACCTTTGCTTGTTGACCCAACAAAAGTTATAAAAACGTTCAACGCGAGGGCCTGTTGGAGTGACGGTTCTACAAATATTCCATTTTTCTCCACACGCGTGTATATTATATTGCTATTCTCATCCATTATGCTCGCAGTTGTAGTGTAACTGCTAAAATTATATGCAATAAGGTTCAAAAGAATTTTTTGATTGACTTGACTTTAAAGACTTAGCTAAAGTGCCGAACCAGTTTTAGGGTAGAAATTGCATTGACCTAAGTGTACAAGGCCTGGGGACTCTTGTTTCCCAGAATAACAACACATCTCTCCTACTTGAATAAAATAATGTTCAGGGTCGAATAGTTCAATCGTATAATGAAAACGGGATAACGTTCTGCCTAACATTCAGCAAACGGAGAATATGATGACCCATTAGCTGAGAATGTTTTAAAGTTCAATTGCCAGTGTGTGTGTGCAGTACAAACAACAGCCTACTTCCATTCTGCTTCTACTGAACAAGATAAAGTTGTGATTTTGAAATCCATTTAAGTACACCCCACTTAGTAGCAGTGTCTGTTTTATCTGTGGTCTGATAATAAGTAAGTACTTTCTTGATCCCCACTGCTATCAGTGAAAATTTACGCTTGCAGGCGTAATATTCTGTAGTTCGCTTACACTCACATTACTGTAATATCTGTACCATCGTTAAAATTAGAGCAGTAAACATTATACCACCATATTAACACAAATAACAGAACACTATCCGGTGAGTTACAGCAGAGTTGTCGTCAACCCAGTTTTAGAGTGATCTTTAGAATTGCATTACTTGCTGCTTCTGGTCAAGTATACTAAAGCTTAGGACATTTATATACAAAGTATTCTGTTACTGTAAAGGAAAGACGGAAAGGTTCTCAGAGGTGTGACTGGCTACAATCAAATGATACACAAAACTACACACCATGATTTGTTTTTTCTCTAGTGCCGGAAGTCAACTACGCTTGTCTGCCAACGAAGGATATGGTACTGGAGCCTGGCACCAAGTGTTATGCAGTCGGTTGGGGTAGTACGCAAGCAGGAACCGTTCCCACGTTTGACGACATTCAAAGCATCCTGGACTCGTTGTTCATTCCATTTCCGGATTTATTCAGCTCATTCGGACGTTACCCTTTCAGTCATTTTCGGCGCCGTCAGCATCGCAGAGATACCAGCGCTGACGAGTTGCAAGAGGTCGAACTTCCGATTGTGAGCATGGACCAATGTCGCAGGCATTACACGGAGCTTAACGATGAGTTGCACATTTGTGCTGGTTCAAAGGGCAAGGTAAGTTTGGTACTACGTTCCTGAGATGGGTCAGTTTCGATTCAGAATATGGTGTTGGAATAAAAGTAGTGACCGACTTATTCCCTCGAATCAGTGTCTACACGTTAGCTAGATGTCATGCGCGCACTGGGGGACATAGCTTTGGTCGCTAACGGCGGCATGTGCGATGCTTCTCAGCTGGTGGAATGACGGGGTGTATTAGGTTTCATACACTTGGAAGAGCTTTTAAATTCAATTTGTGTAGCCCAAATGATGTGCTTATTGTATGGACGGACTTGTCTTATGAACGGTTGCCTCAAACATACGATTAACCACATATCACACGTACCACATATTACATATGTATGTACGTAATATGTACTAGAATAAAAGCACGATTGCTATCCGATTTCATGTCATTGTAAAATATTGCTGGCTAAAACATAAATTTTTCAAAAAGATAATAGATATTCAAAATAATTAGCATGGATTTTCGGTGAACACCCATATACTTAGTTCCTAGCGATGCAGCTTATGTAGATATATTCAAGTTGCTTAATTTGACTCCTCACTTCGCCTATTAAAAACAAGATATGTGTTTGAGAGGTCAAAGCGAATTTTAAATTAACATTTCTAATCTTATATATGCAGTTCTTAAGTAGCGAAATATCCCAGTAATAAATAGTTGACGACGTCCTCCAAAAACCTGCCTTAGGGAGCTGTATTTGGGCAGCGATTAGGTAGCAAAGCGATCATTGGCTAAACACTGGATCCAATTTAATGGCAGTACATTTTTGAACACTAAAATCATGAATACATCCGTCTTCTTAACTCGGTTGGGAAAATGGATCAGCCATGAACAAGTTCAGGTAAAAAAATAAAAACGATCTAGCACACACACTAAAGTCTATATATGAATTCGACCCGTTGCTGAATTGTAATTTGAGGACCATTTGTTTATGGATCGAACGTTTTCTGAATACCTTAATTCATTGCTTCCTATGGGGGTCCACGTGGAACACGCCACATTATACAAGTCCAAATGCTAGGCAAGTTCTAGCAGCTGGATCAAACAAAGTACGGTAGGAGCGTGTTGTTTGAAGCTAAGATGCTTAGGCGCTATGCAACAAGAGTGTTTACCGTGCTTATAGAGTCGCAAGAAACCGGCAAAGTCCGCAACATGCTATAACGCTTCTTCTTTCCCTCTGCTCGCTGCCACTTACACCTCTTGTACTGCTGTTAGCTGCCCTATGCGACTGCGACTGTCTGACATCTCAGTCACGCGCCCAGCCAACCGAAGGAAGGAAGGCCAGAAGTCGGTAGACAGAGAGTATCTTTGTACAGGATAGGTTAACTCTATTTATTGGTAACCGAAACTTGCTACTTAGGAGGGCAAAGTCACTCACTATTCTGCGTCTGGTTTTCAGCCAATTTTAGTGAGTTCCACTCCACGGGTTCATCACATTGACCGAATGGTTCGATTCCTTTGATGCGGCTGGTATTTGTTGGTCGATCAATGTTCACTCGATTTCCAAGTTTAGCTCCGTTTACCTCTCTATTACCTCAATTTTCGAATTGAGTATGCCAGCGTACCGTTCGAACTCGAGTTAGATCAAGTTGCAGCCAGTGTGGTCTTTTCCACTTTCGGAGCGGCCTATATTGTATGTCATGTGCTGCTTGCATCTCGTGTTGTGATCCACGTAGCCGCTCAGCTTCATCTTCCAAACAAAAGGTGTCTATCAGCATGTACCGTGATAGGGATGGCTGTTCTGGGGGACTTTGAGTCTTGTCGTGATTCGGTCTCTGCTGATTGGCGTGCTTGTCCCGTTCCTCATTTCCTACCATTAGCCCGTAGATTACCCAACCGTTCTTACCGATCACTCTTCCTCTCGACCACCTCCTCAGTCCTCGGAAATCTCTTGCTTACATCATGTTCCTACTTTTGAAAAGACGCACGCTGTCTGTCCACTTTTCCCCCGCAGGATAACTGCGCTGCTTTGCTTTCTTGATTGGCACAAGGCGCTTTGCTCTGGATACTGGTTTACTGACTGAGTTGAGGTTCAGGGCAGCACTGGTGATTCTGCAACATTCTGGACTAGGTTGGAGTATTGCTACGTCGCGGCCAGTCATCTGCGTAATCTGACTGGCATTGATTTCTGCGGTCGCATCCTCAGGTCTGATGGACACTTCTGATCTTGAAGTGACAGTGTGGCAAAGTGTTGCTCTTCTATGGCTTCCGAATTTGTGACCACCTTTTATCATGATTCAAGTTGATCTACCTCTGGAATTCTGAAACAATTTCTTTCTATGTCAGCTTCAGTTCCGGTTCCCATACCACTTGAATGTTTAGTTTTTGTGATGGCCGTTCGAACAAATACCTCTGTGACTTCGAAATGTGACTGCTGCTGCTGCTGCTGCTGCTGCTGCTGCTGCTGCTGCTGCTGCTGCTGCTGCTGCTGCTGCTGTTGCTGCTGCTGCTGCTGCTGCTGCTGCTGCTGCTGCTGCTGCTGCTGCTGCTGCTGCTGCTGCTGCTGCTGCTGCTGCTGCTGCTGCTGCTGCTGCTGCTGCTGCTGCTGCTGCTGCTGCTGCTGCTGCTGCTGCTGCTGCTGCTGCTGCTGCTGCTGCTGCTGCTGCTGCTGCTGCTGCTGCTGCTGCTGCTGCTGCTGCTGCTGCTGCTGCTGCTGCTGCTGCTGCTGCTGCTGCTGCTGCTGCTGCTGCTGCTGCTGCTGCTGCTGCTGCTGCTGCTGCTGCTGCTGCTGCTGCTGCTGCTGCTGCTGCTGCTGCTGCTGCTGCTGCTGCTGCTGCTGCTGCTGCTGCTGCTGCTGCTGCTGCTGCTGCTGCTGCTGCTGCTGCTGCTGCTGCTGCTGCTGCTGCTGCTGCTGCTGCTGCTGCTGCTGCTGCTGCTGCTGCTGCTGCTGCTGCTGCTGCTGCTGCTGCTGCTGCTGCTGCTGCTGCTGCTGCTGCTGCTGCTGCTGCTGCTGCTGCTGCTGCTGCTGCTGCTGCTGCTGCTGCTGCTGCTGCTGCTGCTGCTGCTGCTGCTGCTGCTGCTGCTGCTGCTGCTGCTGCTAGCTGCTGCTGCTGCTGCTGCTGCTGCTGCTGCTGCTGCTGCTGCTGCTGCTGCTGCTGCTGCTGCTGCTGCTGCTGCTGCTGCTGCTGCTGCTGCTGCTGCTGCTGCTGCTGCTGCTGCTGCTGCTGCTGCTGCTGCTGCTGCTGCTGCTGCTGCTGCTGCTGCTGCAATAATGCCTGCAAGTGTGGAAGCTGAGTGCCATTCGGGTTTCGATTGAAACTCGCGTCGCCACTATTGTGACGCGAGCCAGGAATCTATGTTTTCAAAACGCTGTCCTGCGAATAGTTATCCACGGCTTCTGCTGACACAATACGGGAGATAGCTCGCATATCACTTTGTTTGCAAGGTAGTGCAAACAGTAGCCATGCTTATAACTACTGGAACTTCTAAGACCGTCAGGTAGAAGGGTCTAAATCTCTGATCAATAATATCTCAAAGCGGTTTATTCATATTCCTTGCTCTGGTGGCTAAGTCAGTGCATAACAACGAAGGTCACTTTGGGGTTTTGCTTTGCACAGAGAAAGCCACGTTTGATAAATTCAGTCAGGTTGCCACCGAGGTATCTGAAAGCACTTCAACGAAACCTGCAGCTACTGAGTTTAAAAGTAAGTTTAAAACATTTCCATTAAGTTGAGCTTATATTCCTTATCGCCAACTGGAATCTTTTTGTTGATGTCTAGCGACTGAGGACTAAGGGTCCTTTGCAGTGTATTAATCTAATAATTATCGAAGCTGGAATAACGCAAAGTTCTAACCGAAGCTAGCTTCGAAATAAAAAGGGAACCAGCGAATTGGTACTTTGAACTACGTGGTCAGTAGTATTCAGTTTCAAAGGTGATACAACATAAAAGTCTAGTAGTACAATACTTAAACTCATTATATCCACCGCAGCTCAAATGTAACTCGGGATTTTTGTAATTTTCCTCGGGATTATCTTGAAGTCGTTGTGATCTTCTCAGTCGCATCTGCTCTTTGCCATTTGGAATGGAATCAGCAAAAGGTCCATTAGTATTGATCTCAGAAGCGTTGGAACTTTCTGTCGACTGATCTGGGTCTCTGAACTGTACTGGGTCCATATGACGTTTGTGCACAGAGAAATCATCCAGGTCTAATTTCCGCACCATCCGTCTTCCTAGAATAATCACAGGAAATCAAGAGTTGGGTCGGAAATCTTTGTCCCTGAAATAGGATACCTCGACAGTGCTCAAGCAAGCATATTAGAACGACGTGGTCTGGATTCGCGCATTTTAACAGGCTTCTCTTCACTGGTAGAACGAACACAATTACGATACCAAAGTAATAAGTTATCAATTAAATGATCGAGTTCATCAAATGTTGTTGGAGCGCCTGAAATAATTGCACTTTTCGAAGTACCAACTAAATATTCAGCCAATCCGTTGGAGCAAAGATTCTGAGGCGGTAAACTGATGATGAAAACCAAGGCACCATAACCAATCAGTAACACAGGATGCAGTGCAATGTAACCCATTATCATTTACAATATCCAGCGGTATACCTTCACGATTAAACATTTTCCTTTAGGGCACGAACAGTAAAATTGTCATTTGATTTATCCATCAAAATATCTCAGGTTACTTCGAATAAGAATCAATTATTACAAGCGCATAATACTTCTGGTGGAATGGACCACAGTAATCAATTTGGACACGTTGTCAGGCTTCACACACCATTGGCCAGGGCTTCCATTTAGATGGTTGACTTCTTACCTTGTGTCGGCAACCTTCACAACTTAAAGCATTCTGTCGCAGATCGGCGTCAACCTCAGGCTACCAATACAAAGATAGTGCTACAGAATTTTCAATCCCCAAATGTCCGGAATGAAGATCTTTCAGAACTGCAGCTCGCAAAGACGGCGGAATCACAGTAGGATCATTGACACACAATATACCATCAGGAGCAACACATAATTTATCACGATGTTGACAAAAGTGGG